TCACGCGGGAGGAGATAGATGCTCATCTTTTTCCAACAGAGCAGCCAGTGGATTTGAACTACATGCCTTTGGGGAGCTAGTGCAGCAGCACCTTATAACTAGGCCACTAGATATTTGTAGTGTTGATAAGCAGGCCTTTCCTGCTAGTCTGTTGGACCTTTTCTGTTAGCTTTGTTTGAAATCTGTCACCCTCTGATACTTGGGAACTTTCAGTCGCTTAAAAACAAAATTCTTCCTGCTCATTTTCCTGTTCCATACACTTTATGAACAAATCATTTTTATTTGTTTTGAGAAAATACCTGAAGTAAAAGGTTTGCAAGGTTTTTATCATCAAGCACTGAAAAATGTGCTCTGTAGCACCCTGCTTCGTTCAGTACGTGATGGTGCTTTTGGTCAAGGCGGCTCATCTTCACCGGTGGATTTTGGGAGGAGCAAGTTAGAATGAGACCTTCAGGCCCTGAGGCTACTTTTATTTCTTCTTAACCCACGGGGAGGTTCTGCTCTGTCCATGAATTAGAACTGATTCCACAACAGGAACTTTGATTTGGCGTTTTGTTAGATATGAACAAGGGAGCTCTGGTGGCCCCGTAGTAAGAATCTGTGCTGCAGTCCCAAGGGTTCACAGTTTAAATCCACTCGCTGTTCCTTGAAGGATGGGAAGTCTCCTCCCATATGATTGACTGCCTCTGAAAACCTGCTGGGGGTCAGCTGGTGGTCGATTCTGACTCAGTGGCACAACAGCAACAAGGGAGCCCCATAGAGGACAGGTGGTCATCTTGCTGTGACCGAAGGGAGCTGACTGGACCTGGACTGGGAGTTCCACTTCCAGTGAGCTACTGTGAGTGGGAATCGATCTCTCCCTCTCTGTATATGAAGTGTGTGGGGAGAAAATTCAACAGCGTTGGGCCTTGGGAGCAGAGCTGTTGATTTCCTGGGACTTGGAAGCATTCATTTTCAGGAGAAAGGCATTTTCAGAGGATTTGCCAGTTCCATTAGTTCAGTAGGTAATGGGGTCACGGGCTAAGTCCTGAGGCTGTGGAGTGCATCAGGGTTCTGTGTTGATGCAGCACTCATTGATTAGCTATTAGGGAGTGGGGCGCTGGGACAGTGTCTGCAGTACAGCAATTTGCACAGACAGCTTCAGGATTGGCATTGACAAGGTAGTCATTGGGACAGTGTGTCAGAAGGCTGCATGGCTTACCAACGGCCACTCTGTACCTCTATTTACTGTCTTCTCCCCATCCCTACTCATTCTTTTGTTGTTGTTTTTCCATTCAGCTGTTCATAAACATTGTTTTATGCCGTTAATTACGATCCATGCAGTGAACTGCTCACTCTTCCCACTTCTGCCCTGTGATTCTCATTTCCATCAATCTTTCTACCCCTTTCCTGCCTCGAGCTTTCTCTGTTCATCCTCTTTGTCTTCATAACCACAACAGTGGATTATGTCTCACCAGCCTCCTTCTGTTCACCTTGTTTCACGTACCAGCTGACTACTGTACCCTTCTGTGTACTTCTTGAAAATAAGGCTTGCTGCATCTGTGCGTTTGTTGTAATAAGAAATGTGAATGTAAAAAAAAAAAAAGAAATGTGAATGTTTGTACGGGAGCTCTTAAAGAACACAGCCTAGATGTGATCTCAGAAGGTTAAAGACGTTTTGAAGCATTCAGTGTTCAACAGCAAGGCAGGTGATGTGTTGGGACCTGCAGGACACACCACCTACCAGGCCACAGGGTTCCTGCGTGTCGGGTCATTGTGGAAATGACACATAGAATTGTTAGTTACTGTCCTCTGTGACTCCCAGTGACCCTGCACAAACAAATGGTGGAAGATTTGCCAGTCCAGAGCCCAGCTGTGCCTGGCCTTCCACGCTAGACGTGTGTGAGCACATCGAGCACATCACTTGGTCATCCTTGTTTGTCTGCATTCTAGAACATTCTCCTCTTCCTGCACTTCACCACCCTGTGGCATTGAGGAGTCCCCAGACCAGTCAATTATAGTAGATCCCACCGCTGGACTTGTGCATGGTCAAGTGCAAGGGTCCCCCAAGCTACATGTTCCAACTTGTTCCTGTCAGGAGGTGGCTGGTATTTCCTTTATCTTGTGAGTGATGTTGTCAGCTCTGATCTCTTGGATGTGGTGCTGTATGTCTTGTTGACCTGCAGACTTCCCTCGTCAGTGATTCTGCTCTGAGTCAGTTATGCGGGTGACGTTGTGTGCGACGCCACTTCTCCCTGTGTCGATAGCTTTGTGGGGCAGAGACATTCCCTATCTCCCTTATTCAGATGTTTTCTGTCTGCATTCACCTATCTGACTGGTTAGGACTCAGCGTGTTCTTTTCCCCTCCATGGACTCTCTTCTCTTTCCATGGTTTGTTTAATGGTCAGCATGGTCCGGATCTGGCCTTGTGGGTAAGCAGCTGTTCTGCCAAGCCAGAGGCAGGTGGTTTGAATCCACCAGCTGCTCTGCAGGAGGAAGAGGGCCAGTCTTCCTCGCTTGTAAACCCTCCACTGTGGTTTATTTCCTCTGAAAACCTGCTGGAGGGCCCCCTGAGTCTGTTGTGATTTGAAGCAATGATCTGGTTGGCTGGTTTGCTGATGTTTTGTTCTTTTTTTCTTTCTCCTCTTTCATCCTTCTTTAAAAGCACCGACTGGTCCAGGGCCCTTGTGTTTCCTCCCCAAGTCCAGATGCAGTATATACAGTGGGTCTTCATAGCTTGTCTGGGTATGTATGCAACGGTGGGTAGGTAGGTTCGGTATTTTGTTGCTGTGTTACTGGGAGTCTGAACAGACATGGAGGCCTGCCTGTGAGTTCAGAACTTACTGCCAGGGGCTTCTCTCTGGCCACCCGAGCACCCCTGTGTCTACCTCTGGGGACAAAACTTGAGGCCCAAGTGTGGCCTGTGCAGATGGGCCATGGCTAGGGTTCGCTCGCTTGGTAAATAATTGATGAGGTCAGCTGTGGCAGGCATGTGGGCGTCTGGAGATCTTTTAGGGCATCGGGGCGGCGAGTTCATTTTGGTTGGAAACTGGAGTGGATCGTGTTTCTTATGATGACAGTCAAGAAGGCACAGATGTCATACCCCAAGATGTTAGGGATAGGCTCGGGTCAAGAGAGGTCAAGCCCTTCCCGACCCTTTTCACATGCTGAGGGCATTGGCTTGAAGGAGAATCAAGCCCCCTTCCTGCACTGGCCAGGTGTGCTTCTGGCCCCTCACTGAGGGCGCACAGGAGACAGGTGAACTGGGGTAGATTTCTGCTAGGCGTGTTTGTTCGCATTCTGGGCCAGGGAGAACGGATGTGTCTCTCCAGGAGTTTAGACTGCTGGTCCCTTAAGTCGTGTGATCAGAAGACATGACTTATCTGCTTCCCCAAATCCAAGTCCCTTGGACAAGTTAAGCAGAGTATCAAGTACCTTCATGGTGGTTAAACTTAACGGTACACATAGAGCCTTTGAGGACTTGACAGTAAACTGTTCTGAAATGCATAATCTAGAGTGAACTTGGAGAAAGGTCCTGTTCAACAGGAGCCCCACAGATACCTGGGTACAGCATCAGGACCACTTGGCATGGCTCCAGGAGTGGAAGCTGTGCCCGTGCGGTTCTAAATTCTGCATGAAACATTCACACCCCACAAGAGAGGGCTGGGCAAAGGACTTGAAAGGAAAAGAAGTGGTTTCTGCATCCATCTCCCTTGTTTTACTGGAGAAAGTGGCTCGAGGCTATCCTGACACGTGTTGACATAGCCGCCTGTCTTCATTTTAGAATGAGCTCTTTGCAGTCACCAGCCACTCTGCGTCTTCTGGTCCTCCTTTGACAGAGGTTCTGAGGTTTCCTCTGGGATTGGCCCCTTCGGCTCCTGTAGAGACGTGAGGTGTGGTCCACGCCTCAGCTGAGAGCTGGGCTTGACTGAATTTCTGTGTAGCATGGGGTTTTTACAATTAGCTTAACTTGGACTGTATGCTAAGACTCTGAGGGCATGGTGGCTGCAGATGGAAGGAGCAGTCAGTTCAGAGCACTGTAGAATTCTCCTGACTTGCCTGGCAGCAGCGGCACAGGAAGGAGGACGGTGACCAGTTGTCAATGTGTCTATCCTGCCCCCCTTCCCCTGCACCCCCGCCCCTCCGCCCAGGTGCCAGCTGTCCTCTATAAGGTCTACAGTGACTGAGTTTTTGCCAGGCCTTTCTTCCAAGGCTCTCCTGGGTGGACAAGAACCCCTAGCTTTTCAGGTACCTTTGTGTTTGGGAAGCTTGCACTACCCAGGGCCTGGGTTAAAGAGGACAGATAGCCGAGTTGTTGCCTGCTGTGCGGGGCACCCCACTTCCTCCTGGGCAGGCAGAACAATTACTGAGGATCAGACCCTCCTCTGCCTTCAGACCCGTCATGATACTCGGGGCCCCTAGGTCGCACACTCCTGGTGGAGGGTGGAGCTGTCTCAAACCCCCAAGGGTGGAGCTTTGGGCACGACCCTTGCCTCTGGTTTTTGGATCCAGATGAAAGTACATTCTGGCCACAATCCAGGACAGGAAAAAGAGACCAGGACGCGCACACCCACATGGGTGGGGCTGATTGAGATGAGGAGAGGCCCTGAATCCCTGGTGGATATGAAGGTAACATTGGGGCCCTGGCTCCAGCGACACTGGCTCCAGGGATGCCCCCACAAACATGTGCTGTACCCCCAGCCTAAGAACAGCCTTACAGTCCAGTCTGTGTATCCATCTGACCTGTCTCCTCAGCTGCCTTTAGGAGCTGTTCCCGGGAACACATGTCTGCACCATATCCAAGTGTGTGGGGTCACAGAGCAGCAGAAGTAGAACCTTGGGGTTCACAGCAGAACACCCAGACCATGGAGTGTCCCCTCTGGAGAAAGGGGGCTGAGTTCTTCAACAAATGCTTCTATGCTCATTGATGCCAAGGCTTTAACTCTGGGTAGCAGAGACCAGAAGACAGCCTCCCTGAGCAGCTGTAGGGCCTGTCCTTGCCCAGGAAGCAAGGTCTGCACCCGCCCTTCATCCTGGTCTGAGCTGTGGCCTCCCGGGACGGCTGTGTGGTGGCGGTGGCGGGGCCTGAGTCAACAAGGCCAAGATAGGCGTTCTCTGAGTTGGACACGCAGACGTAAGCACCATCTGGGACTGTCACCTGGGCCTGGGCTGTCACCTGAAGTAGCCTGGTACCTGATATCTCAAACACATTCCCCCGGATGGTCCCAGTGCGGTCGGGGTGGCCTGAGGTTGGGTGGGGTACAGAGGGACGGAGATGCCATAAAGGGTTGATGAGTTTGGACCACATCCCCACTGCTGCATGGCTGTTGGGTGGGTGACTCCTACCTTGGAACTGGGTGCTTGTGTGTTCTTTTTGCTGGTAATGCCAGCATAGAACTTTCCAGAATGTGCCCTTGGACACAGCTTTATCATTTGGTCTCAGGAACATGGAGAGCTCCTGTGGCCCTGGCTGCACGTAGTGGCCGTGGGATCCCGGACTGCAGGCACGGGTACAGAGTGCCCACGGCAGGGCTGTTCCTCCCCCATGTCCCCTGTCCCCATCTCTCCTGCTCCCAGAAGACACTCCTCAGCAGTGTCTGCAACACCCACGGAGGCCCCGGGATCCCTGCTGCAGACAAGGAATGTGTCGGGGATACGGCCACGACACGGCTTTTCCTCCCCCGTCCCCACCTCACTCCTGCTCCCTGAGAACACTCCTCAGCCCTGTCTGCTGCACCCGCGGGGCCCTGGGGGCCCTGCCTGTCCCAGAAGCTACAGCCCTCCCCACTCACTAGGCTGACACATGCTGCAGACGCCACACGTGTCCCGAGCCTGCCTTCTCCTCACATGGTCTTCAAAATGCAGCCTTTCTCCACATCTGTAAACTCACATTCACAGCTTTCCACAATCACACGCTTGTCTGTCCCTCACAATAGCCGCATTTTGGTGGAGGCCGTGCCTGACACACATTTTTATTGAACTTATAAAATCTTTGGGGCGAGTGGCTCTGTAAACACAAAGGCTTTCACGGCAGGCACAAACCATAAGCCTGGTTATTTTGTTTTCCCCCAAAATGGAGACGTGACGAGCCCTGGCTCACGCACCAGGGGGGCTGCCTTGCCCTCTCCTGCCGGAAGTGAAAGTTTGGATGACATCGCTGCAGGCTCGCTTCTTGTCATTGTCGTTGATGGAGCCGCGGGAAGTCGGGGCCCAGCTGTTCTTGGCAGAGGTGACCGCTCAGAGAGGAGAGGCTGGAGAAGTGGCTCTGGGAAGGAAGCCCCTTTCTGAAGGTTCACATTGTCCAGGGAGGAAATCGGGGGCCCACAGGCAGTTCCCGAGGGACGAGAGCAGGGCCCCTGCGCCCGACCACAGCCCAAGGCTTCATTTTCTCCCTGCCCTCCAGAGCAGTGATGGTGTTCTGGCCTTCAGCGTTCTGGGATCCTAGGTGTCACATGTAACTTCAGTACCCGGTCCACCAGCGTGGGCCTCAGGAAGTGAGTGCCTTCCGCCTCATGGAGGGTGGTTTGCATGAAGGAAGATGGGATTCCTGGGAAAGGGCAGAGTGATGAAAGTAGCGTGAGTGTACCCCAGGACTCAGCAGGGCAAGTCACCAGCTGGGACTTGGGCTGAAAGCGGTTGACAGCTCAAGAATCCTCCCTGCGCCACCCTCCCAGGATCAACGCAGCCCCTGGCTCCACCCAGGTGGGCATGAGATGGAAGCCTCCCTTTACCACCCTCCCAGGATCAAGGCAGCCCCGGCTCCATCCAGGTAGATGTGAGATGGTTCCAGACCCAAGACACCTTGCTCGAGGTCATTGACCTAGGAGGTGGGCTGTGGCCTGACTAGGTCCTGCCTGTGGCAGTGATGTCTGAACAGGTGGAGTTCTGGAACATGATGAGGGTATAGGTGAGCTCTTCACGGGGGGAGGGACCCAGGAGGTGCTCCTTGGGATTGGGGATGGAGGATGCAAGTAGGGTGAGGCATCCTTGTGATATCTAATAAAATACTTTAGACAGAAGCCTGCACAAATTGTCACGTCCAGCTCAGTGACTTGACAAAGCACACCCACCTGTATCCTTTGTGACCACATCATCAGCCCTTTAGAAGAGCCCTGGAGAGACCCTCGAGAACCTTGTGTCCGCTCCTCAGGGACTTTTCTGACTTGTGCTACCTGAAACTGGCTTGTGTCCTCTTTAATGTGAACCACGCGGTTTCTGGCCGCTGGGTCTTTTTATCGTGTGCGAGAGTCATCGTTGTTTCTGTACGAGCGGCAGTTCATTGATCACTGCTGTGTACTGTTTCACTGATGGAGCCGGTACAAGGGATTCTTCTGTCCTGCTAGACCTGGGGACTTGGAGTTTTAGGGTTTGGGAAATGTTGTAAGGTGTGCTCTGTTGAGCTTGTGCCCAGGAGGGGAGGCGGGGCCACTGGGTGAAGAGGTTCAGCGTTGGTGGAAACTCACTACCTATCTCTGTTCCCCCCCCCTTCTCCCTCGCCCCTCTTTTCTCCCTCCCTCTCTCCCCTTCCCCCCCCTCTCCCTCTCTCAGCTGTGAGAAGCCCCTGTGCTCATTCCTCATTCTCTGTCCCTTTTACTTTAGCATCATCTCTGGTGATTTGTGTTTTGTATCTCAAGGTGTTTGATTTGTATCTTCCTGTTAATGATTTAGTTACCTTTTCTCTTTTGGACTATCATTTACTTTATTCTGGTTGATGAGAACTGTGCAGAGCAAACCCTGAAGTGTTGCTGTGCTTTTGTTCTCTCCTTGCTTTTCTGAATAAACTCCTTGTCCCTTAAATTTTCTGTCCAGTTTTGGGGTGGTGTTATTGTCAATGTAGGGAGTTCTGGTGGCCTGTCTTTGTTTAAGAATTGTGCTGCCAACCTCAGGGTACATGACTTGAATCCACCAACTGCTCCATGGAGAAAGACAGGCAGGGTCCTTCTGTGCAGTATTGTTGCTGTTGTTGATGGCCATTGAGTCAAGCACGACTCATAGAGACCCTGTGAACAAAAGGCCTAAAGTCTTTCTGTAACTATCGTCACTTACCAAAGTTCGTAGAGTTCCCATAGGCGTGTTGTTTAGGACGTGGATGCCACGCCTGCCTCCAAATATACTGTCTCTGAAAACCTGCTGGAGGGTCCACTATGAGTTCCTTCCAGCTTGACTACTCTTAACATGATAGCCAGACGTTATGGCAGAGGAAGTAGTTAACCACGCATCCCATATCCTCCTCCTAATCCTGACACTTTTCCTCTGTTGTTCAGGGTGAGTGGAGGTGAGGTTTTGTACCTTGAAAGCTCACTTGCAAGTTTTCAAGACTCCACATACCTGTTTATGGGACTCTCAGCTACTGTGGAATGCTGTGGAGAAGTACCTCCCACTCAAGTCCTATGCCTGGTTTTCACATGGGTTTGCCTGGCATGTTCTTATTGTAGGAATGACTTGCCCTGTGCTGGATGCTTGGATGTTTGGGTTTAAACACCTCCCACTTCTCTCTGGACGTAGAGTCTTTGAGGAAGGAGTTAGGGTCTTGGTGCTCCCATGCCGCCCTGCATGTGCACAGGGTGCCTGCAGGTGGCACCAGTCAGATGCTTCCCTGGGAGTCCAGTTGGAAAGGCTGGGACAGTGGCTGTCACGTCCTTCCAATGGTCTCAGAAAACAGGCAGGCCGGTGTTCACTGATAGAGAGCATGGTGTCTAGAAGTGAGTCCCTAGAAAGCACATTTGTTTCTAGCCGGGCAGAGTTGCAGAAAGTTCACAGCTCTATGACTAGAAAGGTTCTGAGAAGGTCGGAGTCCAGGAACGGGCAGCTGAGTCTTCTGTGGACTGTCTTGAGGGTGCCGGCCTCGGGTCAGAGCAGGGGGCATGCCAGGGACTGACTAGCCAGGCGTTTCTAGAGGACAAGCCATCCCCAGGTGACCTTTCTGGTTGGGGCCACATGGTGTGCCTTTGGCATCTTCCCTCCTTGGCTCTTTCTGCCCAGGTGAACCTGTAACCGGTGGAGGAGCCGCTGCGGGCCATGAGCTCGTTAATGTTTATGAAGGGCAGTGGCAAGCATACACTCAAGTATGTTAAGGGCTGGGGAAGTCACTGGGAAATGAGAACGTACACGCTGCTGTGTATTTCAGAACTGACATCTGGGCCCCATTAGTGGCCACCTACTTCACCATCCACAGGGCAAGGGGGCTGGAAAAGGAGTGCTGGCCCAGACTCCGGTCCAGCGAGCCAGTCATTGCTAGCGAGACCCCGCACCTCCCACCATGTGGCTGGTTGCTTGGATCAAATCCCTCATGGCCCTTAGTTCTGTTCCGTTCCTCCTTCTGCCACGCCTTTGTTCAGAATGAAAAGTTAGGCAGCTCTGCTTTCCAGTGAACAGGGTGATGGTGCCATCAGCTACCTTGGTTATAGCTGTTGTAGGAACTTTTTAGTGTGATTTGAGTGAAAGGCTGCAGAGCAAATTGGTTTTCTGTTCAGCAGTTTATACAGGCATTTGGTTTATTGCCTTGGTTGCCCCAATGGAACACTGTATCCTTCCATCCCCGTGTGTAACATTTCCATGGCTCCTACTTTCCTGCCCCTTCTTGCCTGCTAAGCTTTAACTGTGGGTAAATACTGTCCTTTGACTCTTGGGTGACTAGCAGTTCTAAAGAGCAAGTATCTTTTTGGAGTTACAGTTCACTTTGTAGATGTATCATTTGACCATGCCCAGCCCTGTTCAAGTGCCGGGGTGCAGCCAGTGTCCATGTTGGGGGGAGAGTGAGAGAGAGATAGACTCTGAGACTGTGTGTGTGTGTGTGTGTGTGTGTGTGTCTCCATGTCTCCATGCACATGTACATGACACCAGCAAGCCAAACCCTGACTGTTGTAAATGAGATTCCAGTGATCGTAGATTCTAGAAGCAGCTTCCTTATGTCTTCCTCTTGTGCAAAGCTAGAAGCTCTGTTTCGAGTTGAGGATGGCGGCTTGATGTCTTAAAGTTGTTTTCCAGGCTCATGAAGTTCATTTCATGGGAAGCACAGATTTGAAAGGGGTGTGCTCCCAGTATGGAGCCCCAACATTGAGACCAAGTGGAAGCTGTTTGGGGACTTCTGGTACCCCCAACCCCAGTTGTTACAGACTGAGCAGGAGACATGGAGAGACTTAGACCTGAAGCCTTGTGGCTCCACCCCTCACCCATGACATGCCCTCCTGCTGACACCATATTTCCAGGCCCGTGATTGGCCGATCTGTCCCAGTGCTGTTTACTGCATTCTGTCCTTCAGGTACTGGCTGAAGTGTTGACGGACCGCCTGAGGCCATGAGCTAAGCTCATGACGTAATTCGTATCGAGAGTGGCACCCTCAAGATGGTACAGGTGGTTAAACTCTCGACTATTAGCGGAAAGTCTGGTGGTTTGAATCCACGCTTTATTGCGTTTCCAGCATGTTCCTTGGATCTCTCTGACCGCTCCTGGCTCCTTTGTGACTATCTTGGCCGTGGATGCTGTTTTCTTTTGAATCCTGCATGGTTTTACTGCCGTCTCTGGGCCCAGTTCTCCGCAGGGCAAGGGGGGCAGGTTCCTGCCGAGCCTCTAAGCATTGGAGTGCACAGCTTTGCCTGCTGGATTAATTTCCTGCTCCACTTCGGCCCAGGCAAGCAGCACAAATGACCCATTTGTCTGTGGGCTCTGCCACTTCCTCCGCGATTGGCCCGCACCGCTCTTTGTGTTGTTACTATTTCCTGGTCTTTCCACTCAGCTCTCCGAATCCCTGATTGGCCCCTAGTCCGGTGCCAGAGCCTGGAGGAGGCGGATAGGGTGCTGCTGGCCTTGAGCAAGGCTTCACACTTGCCTGCACCGACAAGGAGGCCTCTGCCATCCTGTGACTGCCCTGCCACTGTCACTCCCAGCAGAGGCACGGTTACTGTCCGTGCAGCAAGGCTCCGAGTCCCCGGGTGGTTGATCAGTTAACACTCAAAGGGTGAAAGCGGGTCCACCTAGAGATGTGACATCTTTCTGAAAACTCAACCTGAATCAAACTCCTACACCGTGACTCAGTAGACTCAATAGCAAGTAGTTCTTGGAACGGAGCAGACTCCCAGCTGACCCCCGAGGGTTAGAGCCTGTCAGCCGCCCAGAACGAGTCTGTCCAGCTTTCTCCGTGGAGCTGCGCGTGGGTTTGAACTGCTGGAGGTGCTCAGCCTTCGGGTTAGCCCCACAGTCCCTACGGCCTTCACCACCAGAGCTCCCTTGGTGGCAAGTCAGGGAGACAGGACTGGGGCCATCTGCGTCTAGACCGACCTCAGTCTTGGGCGTTATGATGGGGCGTGTCTGCGCCTAGAGTGAGCTCAGCGTTGGGGGTCCCGCTGGGGCAGCCATGTGCACCTGTACAGACTGCCGCATCAGGGACTCTGGAGGGACACGCCCCCTCCTTTAGGGTTGCGGTGACTTGGTATCATCTCAGTTGCCTAGAATTTTGTTAGGTTTACAATAAACTGTGTTCCTAGGTTTTAGATTTGCAAACATAGTACTGCGAGTTCATTTTCCATGATAAAATGCTGGAGTCTTGGC